GGGCCAAAAAGTAGTGCAATATGTTTGCCAGCCCACCACCTCAACAAGAGGACAAGCGGCCCCCACAAGACGACAAAAAGTGACATCTCCTACTTAAATTTGACAGTACTTTGGTGACGCCGCTGTTGCCTCGCTGACCCACCTTTGCACCCGAGATGTTGACGCCTCAATCCGGCTCATTGGGCCCCAGCCAATGGCTACTAGTGGTTGCAACCCAACCGTTTCGGTTTAAATCTAAATAAAATCAGAATCAAATTCGACGATTTAAAATTAAACCAAACTCAAACTTTATTCAATTCATTTTTTATCTTAAAATTTAAAATCGAAACTGCAATTCCGATTGATGTCAAACGAAACAAAAAAAAAAAAGTTGAATGATCAAATGCATAACATTTTTGGTCAGACCAACAACTAATAACTAATTAATTAAAGAAATATTTTAGAAAAAAAATTAAAATATATAATTTTGATTTGAAATAAAAATTTTCTAAAACCGGATTTTTTTTTTTTTAATCTGCTAGTTTAGGTTATTGACCATTATTTTATGTTTTTTCTTGTGGAAATGCAGATTTATTATCTCTTTTCTGCGTGTTTGTTAATGGATTCGGATCTGATTTAAACAATTAAGGTAAGATAGATAATTTTCATGGAGATTCGGGTCAAATTGCATCCGCTTGGCGTCGGATTTGGCTTTTGGGTTCAGGAATTCGTCCGAGCCGAAACCATTCACCCAGAATCCCGTTTTGAGGTTGCGGCAGGTTTCAACAGCTGGCGGATACCCTGTGGGCCCGGTCAATGTCTCAGCGGCCCACCCATTGCCTGCGTCCTGTCGTCATGCGGTTTGCCAAGGGCTTCGAGCTCATCAAGCGCTTCGATCCTCCGCGGACGCGATGCCCATGTGATGCTCGGCGTTTTGTCTCCACATTCATGTGCGAGACTCTTACCATCTGACATGAGACTGTTTCAGGCGACCGGCCGACCAGGCTGAGCTGGGAGGCCATAGAAGAGGATGAGTGACCTGCTTCTGTTTTGAGGAAACGAAACAGAGCATGCATCTCTCGATCTCTTCCTCTCCTGTTGGTTAAGCCGCTGGCATTTGACTAAAGCTTCATGATGAACAGATGATTGTGGGCGAGCCTCATGTCACGAAGGTCCATCGATAGATGAAGCTGAGAGCCCACAAA